AAAGTTTTAACTTGGTAATTATTAAAATTCAAAAATTGGTAAAATGATTTTATTTAGTCTTGGAATAAGTATTGGACTTAAATAAATCATTGAAAATGAATTTTAAATTTATTTATTTTATTTCTACCCGTAATATATATATAAATATATATATTTTGATTTTTCGAAATATATATTTATATATATTGTAGAAATAGTAAATATAATTTTATTTGGACATAAAACATCATTTTGTGATTGATAAAATTATAGTGTTATTTTTGAATGTATTATTTCCTATTTTGAATTTATTGTATTTATTTAGGAAAAAACCGAAAATAAATATGGGAAAATTCAAAATGAACTTTATTAAGCTTAGAAATATTATTTCTAAGTTTAATAAGGTTGTTGATAAATATATTGTACAAAATAATATTAGTTAGTAATTAAATAAATATATATTTATATATGTACTCGGTTTTATTACCGAAATATTATATATATTAATATATTTGTATTTTAATTACATAAATGAATCATATATATTTTGGAAAGTTAGATATCATTAAGAAAAATAATGTTTTTCAAAACATTAAATTTTTGTAATTTAGTGTTTTCGAAAATAATTTAAATGGCTTTTTATAACTTATTGAGATTTAACTAATATATTTTGGAAATAATGATTTATAAATTTTGGAAATTTTATTTCCAGATTTATAAATGTTGAAAATAATTACTGGAAGTTGAAATTTAATTTTCATGATTTTTGCAAAAACTTTTCGGAATTAAATTGCCTTTTCGAAAATAATTTTGCAAAAAGGGCATTTTGGTCATTTGGAATATTCTGATTTTTTTTATGCTGGCAGAATATCCAGAGAATATAAAATGATTTTATAAAATTTTATTAGATTTATTTGGACATCTAATTTAATTTTATGAGTTTTAGAAAATATTTACTGCCGTAGTATTTTTCTAGAACTGTCTGGGGTGAGCGCGGTTCACCCGGTGTATGTATATCTCTATTGCTTGTGTGGATGTATGATATGCATGGTGGATTATTGTGGCTATAGTTTATTTGATTATAATACGGCCTGCGTGTCGTGCCTTATCTTTTAAACTCTTGCTGTTAATCTATTTCTCTCTCTTACCTCAACCGAGGATTCTTTTCCCACGTGGTGGTTTGAAGATGAAAAGGTTTGAAGACCGTTTGGAGAAATCTAAAAGAATGGAGATAGCCCGAAGTTCTAGTGCCTGGAAGCCAGTGGGAGCTATCGTTTTTTTTCTTTTAGGGGCCACAATCATTACACGTTTATTTACTGCGTTTTGTGAATGCATGTTGAACGCTAGTAATGGACATGTGCGCGGCCATGTCGATAGGTGAGATCGAAATTATAAATCGCTCACGAATATTAAGTCTATTGCGTTCTGACACCCGGCACCTATCCGGCTAATGTGCACTGCCATGTACTCAGCCTCAGCAGAGCATAGTACGGTGTATGTTAAGCTTGTTACGGGAACCGCCATAGCGTGGTCGCTGTCGCACGTTGGGTTAGACTTAACTGAGTCTCGGTCAAATGGATGGATGACTCAGAGGCAGTAAGTTGGGGTCATCAATGACAAGTCGGATGATTTTACTCACTCATCCAGCCAGGAGTTGGATCTTTATGATTTAATTGGAACTTTGTTCCTAACCAAAGTAGCCTTCTTGTAAGACGTGCCTCAGCCAATTACAAGTATGGTGAAAAGGTGTCCTGGTCCGATTGTAGTAATATTGTTCGCCCAACACCAGACCAAGAGCTGAGAGCCCGGCTCATCAGTTGGAACTATGTTCCTACCTAAATAGTTGTCTTGTGGAGTAACGCCCAAGCGGAACGCAAGATAATGAAATATGGATCTTGGCCCTCTAGAGGTTTCACTAGAAATCTCCGAATCAATATCGAGGGTTATTGATTTGTTAAAAATAGTGGGAGATAATTAATTAAAGGCCTAATTAATTACTAAACATGATAGATAACCTATTTTGCAAAATTTTCTGTAGATGGCAAACAACAATAACCCTTTCAACCTGCGATATGTTCTAGAAAAGGAAAAATTATCTGGAGCTAACTTTCTTGATTGGGAGATGAATCTTAAGATTGTTCTCGAATGCGAGAAAAAGCTTTACGTCCTAACATCTGAGCCTCCCAAATCTCCTGAAGCGAACGCCCGTGCTGCAGAAATTACTTCGTACCAGAAGTATGAAGATGACGCACGTGATGTGAGATGTCTCATGCTAGCCACCATGACCCCGGAGCTCCAAAGGCTCCACAAGGACATCGAAGCTCATCCTATGATGACTCGCTTGAAAGGTCTATACCTAGGCCAGGCTAGACATGAACGTTTCAAAATCTCTACGACTCTGTTTTCCAGTAAGCTGGCAATGGGTAACCCAGTTGGTCCCCACGTTCTCAAGATGATCGGTCAGATCAAAACTATTGAAAAACTGGACGCCCCGTTGCACCCTATGCTGGCAACTGATCTCATCTTGGGATCATTACCAGCTGAGTATAGTCAAACTGTAGTGAACTTCTACATGAACAAACTAGAAATGACTATGCGTGAGCTACTGAAACTCCTCACAACTGCTGAGGAGAGTCTAGGGAAGGGCAAGGGTAAGTCTGTCCTGATGGTAGAGGGTAGTACTGTTGCGAAGAAGAGTGGGCCACGTTCGCCGGCCGGGACCAAGCGCAAGAGTTCTAAGAAACCCAAGCCAGCGTCCAACTCCTCTTCGTTGAAACCCAAAGAAGGAGCTAAGAAGAAGTCTGATGTATGCTATTATTGTGGCAAAAAGGGCCACTAAAGGCGCAACTACGCAAAATTACTGGCAGAGAGGAAAGAGGGAAAGAAACCTTAAACCTCAGGTATCTTCGTTACTGAATTCAATATGTCTGATATCATCTCTTGGGTGATGGATACTGGATGTGGTTCTCACATCTGTACTTCTATGCAGGATTTGCATGAACGTAGACAATTGACGGAGGGAGAGATACAACTAAAAGTCGGTAATGGCGCACTTGTAAATGCATTAGCCGTCGGAACCTATAGTTTATCTCTACCTAGTGGTCTTGTATTGCAGTTAAATAATTGTCTGTTTGTACCTAGTATGAGCAGAAACATCATTTCTGTATCCTGCCTTGACAAAGCAGGATTTTCTTTCCTTGTACAAGACAAACCTCTTTCTGTAACACCCTGTAAACCGGTCTAGAAGGTATTCGTTATTTAAATAAATAGGAATGATTTATTTACAACTTATTCCTTAAAGAATAATTAAGATACTTCGGAGATTCTAATTGTCTTATTATATTGAGACTAATCTAATTATATTTGTGAATATCTGAATTAAAAAGACTAATCTGTATTAATTAACCAAAAGAATTAAGACGGACCACGTGGAACCTATGAATACTTGTTGAACGATTATAAAAGTTATACCATTGGGTAGGGAGCGACCAATCGAATCCAACGATGCAAACGGATCTTAATTCGGAGCAAGTTGGACCGAAAAGTGTGTCTTTACTCAGACACGTTATTTTAAATTATGGAGCACAAAACCCTAGAAATATAAATACACCCTCTCCCGTTTCTTCTCCTTCTTCGATTGAAAACCGCCGCCACCAGTCTTGTCTCCCTCTTCGATCTGACCGAGCAGCACCACGACAGCGATGACAATTCCCACCTGCGACACAGGCGCACGACAATCGGCGGCAAACCAGAACCCCGGCGGCGGCGACAGCGGCCTAGGAATTCGGTGGGTAGCAGACCCGACCCGGTTCCCTGGTGGCTCCCTCTCGATTTCCGGCGGTTGGGCGGAGGCGGCAGGTGGCGTGGGGGACGAATTCTGCCGGCGAACCCCTGCCCAGCGACCTCTATTCCGACGACGGCGGATCAGCAGCGGGCAACCCTCTTTTCCAGTAAAGCGCAGCGTTAGACCAACGACGATTCGGTGACCCCCCTGGTTCCAACGATGATCAGGCAGCAAGTCAATCCGGCCAGAACAGGCAGTTTCGATAATCAATTTGGGTGAACGGCTTCGGGTGACGTTCCTTGGAATTGAATCGAACGAACGAGGTGAGTACGTGGACATCTAACACTAGAACGTGCATATATGTTTGAAATTCCGTTCATAATTATTATCATGGTTGATCTATGTGATTTGTCTATGAAATTGTTGGTTATAGTTTTGGGAATTGTTGTCGTTGAATCGGAAAGGGTAGTATGCATGACTTAGGCCTTGATCGACAAGTTTGATAATGTTTGGAATGTAGGATGAATTTATTGGAGTTGTTGAGTATGAAATTGCTGTTTGTTTGACATTGGAAAAACGAAACAGGTATGAATATGGAATTGGTGGTGTCAGACGGTAGGCGGTACCGCCAGGACGGTACCTAGCTACCGTCACACCTTGTCTGTCTGTTCTCTTCTGTCGGTAGCTGTAACCGTTCGGTACCTGGGTACCGGACGGACGGTAGGCCCTACCGCCTGGTCGGTTGTCGGCTACCGTGACATCCCTACCGGAAGAACCCAAGTGGTTCAGACGGTACCTCGGGTACCGTAGGACCGGTACCCAGGTACCGTATGGACGGTACCCCGTACCGTGATAGGTACCGTCAGGTACCTGATGCCGAGTCTGTTGATATGTGTTTTTGTCAAGGATTGATTCTGAGACCTTATATGTTGTATGACGGTAAGTTTGGGTATCAATACCCAATGCTAGGCCGCTATGTGTTATAATTGTGATTGTTATGTGTTGATCCATTACTTATATGAACTAAAATTATTATGGTGATCCAACACATGTGTGACTATGTGAAGTGCATATGTTGGGATATGATAATGTAAGTATGAGTGGGCTGATCCAGCACACAGCAAACAGGTACTGCGCGTTGATCCAACGCGTTGGTAAGGTAAGTCTACCCAAAGCGAATCTTTGGGACTGACATAAATATAGGAAGTTAAGAGTATAAACCAGGTGGATTCCTGCTGGGCTCCAATGGTTAAGTCGAACCGGGTAAAAACGTACGTACAAGTATCCTTGAACTGCCTGGTGATCCATCAGGTGGGGATTCCACCCACCCAACGGAGAACTCCTTCGTTGGTTGAGCATGACCCGTTGATTCAGTGGGAACCGTCATGTCTCCCATACAGTAAAGTTATAGTCCTTAGACTAGTATAGGTTATAGGGACCAGGGCTTGGTGATCCACCAACCGTGAGAGTTCCCTCGTTTGTCAAGCATGATCCGCTGATCCAGTGGGAACAATCATGACTCCCAGAAAAAGTAGTAAGTGTAACGCCCCAAAACATACCCTAAAATTTTTAATGAATAATTCAATTAATCAAATTTGTTTTGACATCTAATATCAAAATCTGGATAAGTCTCATAGAGATAAATCCAATATGTGGACTATTTGTGTGGTCTTGATTGGGAACCTGAGTACAGACCCAAATCAAGAGTAAATAAAGAATTTGTTTAGAATGTAAATATTGAAATCATTTGTTGAAATAAATCATGAGAATAATTGATGTGAATTAAATGAGAGAACCTTTTATGAGAAAGGTCAATTAAACCAATTTTGACCACTCTGTCAAAGTCAACCACCCAAAAATATGATGTCGGAAAAAGTATTACAAATAATTATGAAAAGTATATCGTTGAATAGAATTCGACTGTCTGATCGCAACGGTGCGAACGGATTTCAATTCAGAGAAAGTTGGACCAAAAAGTGTACCCCGACTGGAACCAAAATTGGTCCCAATCAGAGAACTGTTCAGTCGGCGCCTCCGAACGCACTAGCCGATCAATCATCATCATCTTGCGTCTTCTTCTTCCTCACCACTCTATATAAGAAAACCCAACTCACTCAATTCTTCACCATTTCTCACAAAACTTCTTCCTATTCTGTTGCTCTAAGTAAGGAGAACGCAGTGGTGCCGTCAATTTGGTGAGAGGTCGCCGGAGTTGGGACTAATCGTCGCCGGAAGTTTCGCCGGAAAATTTCCAAAACCTCCGTTAAGCTTCGAAGTAAGCCC